GGCGGAAACAACCCCTCCATCTCTGACCTCCATTTTCTCTCTTTCACTTTGGTCCTTCCTCCTCTTCTTTTTCTTCCATCTTTGGTCTTCGATCATGTTTGTCGTCTTTTGGTGATCAACATCTTTCAACAACGATGTTTCCTAAACATCTGAGTGAAGTTCCTTTGGTAGCCTTCAAACATCTGAGTGGGGTAAATGAAATCAAACCCAGGAAGACATTTTTTGTCCTTGCTCAGTGCCTCCCACACAGTAGACACTGAGGTAAATACATTGTTTTTGTCCAAGCTATGGGAATACAATCGGAAAATCCCACACAATAGACTGAGATGTTTAGGAAACATCGCTGCTGAAAGATGTTCATCGCCAAAAGACGAAAAACATGATCAAAGACCAAAGATGGAAGAAGAAGAAGAGGAGGAAGGGACAAAGAGAAAGAGAGAAAATGGAGGTTAGAGATGGATGGGTTGTTTCTGCTGCCCTGCTCTCGTCACGAGTTTGGAGAAAAGTGTTTTTGCCCATTTCTTGCCCTTATTTGATATTTTATCAAAAAAGTTGCATATTTTTAGAAATTATAATTAAAAGGTTATTTTTATTGATATTAGGGGCCAAAAGGTGCTTCTATTGTCTAAAAACCTAATATTTTATTATCTAATGAAATAAATTATTTATTAATTAGCCAACTTTAATTAAATTCCTAATTAAAATAAAGGGTAAGTTGTTGAAACCTCCCTTTAAGTTTTGGACCATTGCTAAAACCCCATTGAAGTTTAGTAATTGCAATCACCTCCCCTAAAGTTTCTAATAGACTTGCAAGTAGACCCCTTTTGTTAGAACTTAGAATCCTCTAAAAAAGGCATAAAAATGTCCAAAATACCCATGCAATTACTTTGACTAAAATGTTTAATTTCAAGTTTTCTCTACGTAAAATTGCTACCCCAAATCTTTTCAATCTCTTTTTTTGAAATTGATTTATTTTCCAAATTCGCCCTTCATGCCAATCACTTAAATGTAAAGCTGCAACTTTAAATTCTCTTGTTTTTGTTTTAATAAAGTATATATTATTTTTTCTGTAGAACTAGCCTCAATAGTAACTATATGGGTATTTTGGACATTTTCATGCCTCTTTAGAAAATTCTTATTAAGGAGTCTACTTGCAATTGTCTCAGAGTTTAGGGGAGGTTTTAGCAACGATCCAAAACTTCATGGGAGGTTTAAGCAATTTACCCTAAAATAAACTAGTGCCTTAATTTTGTAATTTTACACGTAGTAGATAGTCTATGCCATTTATAAAAACGAGGGTGGTGGCAATGTTACGTCAAAAAGTCTAGTTTTCACTTTCCATTTTTACCCTTTATGTTTTTTATTTTTCCATTTTTATTTAATTAACGATTAACACTTGTAATTGGATAAAGCAAAAAAATAATAATAAAATCAATGTGGAACCTACTCTTCTTTCCCCTTATGCCTTGTATGATTTTCTTATGAAGCACCTACCTGATGAACCTTCTCATTGATTAGAGCCAACACGTGTCAAGTATTGGGTGGTTTGCACAAACCACGAATTCAAATTGAAGGGAGGAATAGGTTTTTTCGATCTCTCTGTTTTCATCATCGAACAATCAATTAGATGATTAAGTAAAGTTTTTTTTGTTTTCTCCCTATTTTTTCAGGTATTTTTCCCATTTCCCCTCTATTTCGATTGTCTCTATTAACGTAATAAGTTGTATTTGATCGGAGAATGCTTTCAAGTTCATTATATTGATTTGTTTTAAGGTGTTTTTTTCTCAATGATCATTGGGCCAGTTCGATAATTTGACACTCTACCAACGTAATACCGTAAGGGTTTGGTACTTGGTAGGGCTGTAGGGGTTTGGAATGCGTTTTGTTGGTAGGAGATCCAAACTCTTCTATATAAATTGGATGAATGTTCGATTCAAATCCAAATATAATCAAATCAGGATCAACCTATATCCAAACACTAGCTATTAGATATGTAAATAATGGCCCCACCATTGACAAGTAGAACGGTAGGAGGCAAAATGCCAAATGTCATCATTCAAACATGAAGTGAAGACAAATTCTAAAACCCTAGTTCTTTCCTTTAAAGCCTTCTCTGTATAGTGTATATCTTATCCATCCCCCTACTCCATGGTAGGAAGGAGGAAGCAGAAATGACATCTCTCTTATCTTATGCACCTTTCTCCTTATCATGAAGAAAACAATATAAATTACAAAAAAAACAAAGAAATACACAAAATGTTTACAAAAAATATAGAAAATCATAAACCTTCCTATATCTATATCTATACCATACTAAAGATGAGAATGTTGCAATTGGTTTGGTCAAAACACCCTGATTTTACTTTCTAACTTTACCCTCAACTTTCTATTTTTTTCGATTGTATATATGTCATTGCAAAATAATTATGAAAAAACACATAAAATGAAGAAAATAATATAAATTACAAAAAACAAATAAATACCTAGAAAATTTACAAAAAAATATTGAAAATCTTAAAAATTGAAGAAAAATAACATAAATTACAAATCTATACCATACTAAAAAATGAGAATGTTGCAATTGGTTTGGTCAAAAGACCCCGATTTTACTTTCCAACTTTACCTTCAACTTTCTATTTTTTCCCATTGTATATATTGTCATTGCAAAAGAATTGTGAAAAAAATACATAAAATGAAGAAAATAATATAAATTAAAAAACAAAGAAATATAGAGGGAATTTACAAAAAATATAAAAAATCATAAAAATCGAAGAAAAAATAAATTACAGAAAAATGTAGAATAAAATAAAAATTTATATCTACTACCATATATAAAAAATGAGAATGATTCAGTTAGTGTGGTCGATAGATCCTGATTTTTCATACTAATTCTACCCCCCCCCTCCCCCCTCCTTAGTTGTTTGGTTATTCCGACATATCCCAATTCTATATGAGGGTGCATGATAGTTGTTGACAAAAAAAAAAAAACCATTGTCTTTTCTCAAAAGGCATTGGGTGGGTTAGGTACATAGGTTTGGGTTGAGCTTCAACCTAACCCACCTAACCCATCCATCAACTCGCTAATGACCCATTTTGGGTTCAACCTAAACCCACTATAACCCAACCCGACCTGCCCAACCCATTAATTTTTCACATAATACATAAATTCTAGAAAAAATACATAAAATATAAATAAAAATAGAAAATGTATAAAATAACATAAATTAAAGAAAAAAATAAAAATTACAAAATAATTATGAAAAAACACAAAAATCGAAGAAAATAATATAAATTACAAAAAACAAAGAATACATAGAAAATTTACAAAAAATGTAGAAATCATAAAAATTGGTAAAAAATAACAGAAATTACAAATAACAAAGAAAAACCATAAATTATGGAAAAATGAAAATACAAAAATTTCATTCCATGGGCCCTAGACATGCTTGTCAATTATGCCTAGATCTTATAAGGGTATTTGGCCATTGGGATTGTGCGTTATCATGTGTGCGGTTGTTAAGTAGGGCCTGCAAGTCGTGTCCTCATCGTATGCAACACTGTGACACATTATGAATTGTTCGATTGTTTTATTCTTGGACAAATGTGCGGAGGTGCTCAATATACTTGGGAGGTATTTGCAAATATGTTACTTTAGTGGTTGGTTGATAAATTTTGCTTCCAACTATTTTTTTTTTTTATATATCTTAGTTAAAAAGTTAGAAGAAAATGTTTTTAGGCATAAGTTTAAGTTATTTAATAGTCATCTTAAATAATGACTTCTGCTATTCAATGGTTACTTGAGTAAATTAGTATAATAGCTTTGTTTACTTCTAACCATTAATAGTAATTATTTTCATAGGTTTTAGGTATCATAAAACAGGATATCGGTGAAGAGTGGTATCTCCTATTCTCTATAAATTTTGTGTTACATTGGGATGAACTGTATCTGTATATAATGTTGTTGAATGTAGTTTTATCATTGATTTGGTGCATTAATGTTCCAATCTGATGCATTTGCAACCAACATTATATGCATATTATAAAATTCAGATATTGGCATTTTGTGAGGATAGTCTTTTTTATGTATTATATAATTGTCTTAGAACTTGAGTGGTATGTGAACTTTCATCTATGCTTGAGATATAAAAGCATAGTCAAATATCACCATCAATATCAAATCCCACGTGCATGGCACGGGTTATTCCACTAGTGTCAAGAAAAGAATAAATTTGAATTAAATAATTAGGTTAATGAAACCTAATTAAGGTAATTAAGTTTAGTTATGTTAATTAAATTAGCTCTATTTAGGGAAGTTTAAGTGAATTCAAGTTAATCTAAGTTAAATTAACTTAAGCTAATGTTAATTTAGGGTAATTAAAGTCAATTATGTAATTTTACATGTAGCCTATGTAACCTTACATGACTAACATGTGGCTATTATGATGAAAAGAGAAAGTAAGAGGAATATGTTGAGAGGAGGAGAGAGAATAATGTGAAACAAGTTTCCATTTGAGGTAGAAAAGGACGAGTTCAAATCAGCCCCCACAGGATTGCCCCCCCCACAACATCCCACATCACATCCCTGCCTTGTGGGGGGCAATCTTATGGGGGGACTGATTTGGTCTCCAAAAAGACGAGAGGAATGCTGAAGTGACAACTTTTTTTTTCAAACCAAACATCCTTACCTTTCCCTTTCTTTCCCTACCTTTTTTTTCAAACCAAACATAACTTATATGATTGGGCTAACGGGGGCAAGGAAAATCCCGCTATCCTTATTTTAATATATAGTAATAGATTTCGAAAGTTTTTATTTTGTGTCAAAGTAAGCGATTTCATTAATTCCCCTAATAACCTTCCAAAACTTGATTAATATTTTATTTTTATACCTTGATGAATAATCCACAAGCATAGGCTTTTTATGACGTGTAACCCGTGGGATGCTGCCCATTTCTTGGCTGCTTTCAACCATAAAAATATTAGTAAAGAGAAGAAAACCCATATATACTTCTGTCTCTCATATATACCCTGAGACGCTTCCTCTACAAAAAAAAAAAAGAAAATTGAAGGAAAAAAATGGAAAAAAATCCAAATTCCAACCAGATTGATGTAATGTGGCCAACTTGCAAGGTCCTTATCTCACGTGATTGTCCATCTACATCACGTGACACCAAGGTCATGGTCCTATACTTCTAGAAATTACCTCCTTTATGCTTAATTTACATGAAACCCCAAAATACAACCCCCTCTCCCCCCGGCAAAAAAAAAAAAAAGAATTGAAGTATAACAGACGCATTTATTAACAAAGTGGATTGAGCCATGAGGTCAAACCTACTTCATGCTTCTTCCTCATATGAGCTAAATGCGCATTCGGCGCAATATAGCAAAATCAGATGTGATCATGTGAACAGAGTCTCGGCCGAGTCACAAAAGTCCGACGCCGCTCCGGTGGTTTCTTTCCAACAACCCCTCTAAGATCACCTTCTTCTTGTACTCTTCCGAGTTAAAATCAATGCTATTAGAATTATCTCCTTCTCCGGCGACCATGTCGGGCTTTACAGCCGTTCGGAGGCGAGGGATGGAATATAACCACGCTGACGTGACTAAAATAGCACAGAGTTTACCCCAGAAGAGCATTATGGCCAGAGTCACCATCAGGATTGACATCCCGGCCACTGCATCGAATTTTCCGGCAACTGCCGCTTTTTCTGAGCTGGGTCTCTTCTCAGCTGACCGGGAACGAGTGGTGCTTGCAGCAGCCTGAATTATCTGGGGTCGGTTATGTGGAGGTGACCTTGAATGAGAATTCAACGTTGCATGCTGACTGTGCTTCGTCTTGGGCTGGTTTTCCGGCGAGCCCTCGCCGGATTTTCTAGACTCCGACTTCCGGGTTGGCTGCTTTTGACACGTATCAGCTCTTGCTTGTCCTGCGGTCTCGCCGGATTTTCTAGACTCCGACTTCCGGGTTGGCTGCTTTTGACACGTATCAGCTCTTGCTTGTCCTGCGGTATCCAATTCCTTACGAGTTTGGACGATGGTCTTCTTCGCAGTTCTGTACTTTTCCTGAATTTGAATTCGAGAAGTACCAAAAGGAAATGATTCAGAATCACTAAATTACGCCGGTTACTTGCAAGCCGAGTTAAACTACGCCGATTGAAAGCTGTATTCTGACCGTTTCTCCCGCGTCAGTCTCAAATATTCATGCCTTGAAGAAATTAATGCCATCATTTTTTTTTTAATTTTCTCTTTTAATAATTAATTTTTAGCTCTTAGATGAGCTGTTAATTGCATTTTAATCGGAAATTACTAGCAAAGTTGAAGCTTAAGCTCCATTTTATAATCAGAAATTTAATATTGGTTATAAAATTATTAAATAATTATAGAAAAGTGAAAAATTACGATTGGGTTCAGGCGCAAGGTACCTCAAAGAGGCTTTGATGATCTGGTTCATTCACCAATACCGTCGGTCTGCGGCTGGGCTTCCTGTCCATCTTTGGCGGAATCTGACGCTTCGAAGCGATTTTGTTAGAATCCATAACCACCCCAATGTCTTTAACGTCGGGTGCTTCATCGCGGAGGGGAGGAGCATCGACGGGGACGGTTTTGGTGGCGTTGGGTTTCTTCATCCGGAACCTTGACCAGGAGAGCCAGCGCTTTCTTATCCGGCCACCGGAGCCGCCGTTAGTTTGTGCTGGTCTCATGTCGTCGGGGTCGAGAACTCGGCCTGCGAACCCGAAGCAAGACGGGAAGCAGGAGGCAATCCTCTTGGGTTTGGTCTTCTGGGGTTGTTTCGCGATTTCAGCCATTGAAGTTGGAGAGGGGGAGAGGAGGAGAGGCCTGGTTCGGCATGGAGAGCAGGAGATTTGAAGCTGCGAAAGTCTGAAATGGCGTCGTCGTGGAGTCTGGAATTGTATTTCACTTGGCGAAGAATGACGTGAAGACTTTTCAGAAGAAAAAAATTCGGTTTTGCTGGAAAATAAAAGTTTATATTCGGTCTTGACTTGGACTACGCGGGCCAAAGTCGTCAGTCGTCACTCCTTCGAGAATCGAGCCTGCACCCTGCTCAAGTCTTGGCTTATATTACGAAAAGGACCTCGCCTTTAATGAGAATTTACGTGCGCTCCAGGTTTCAGCCTTTCAGGCAAAAAGCTTTGGCTTTGGGTTCGGGTGGATTTCCTTGGACCCACACCACCCACAAATTGCGGACTGCTGGCACTGGGACCCACTGCACTGAGTGGGACTAATACAGTGGTCGTCCTGATGAGCCACCGAGGGGTCAAATTGTGGGTGGGTCCCGCTGTTCGGACAAAATGGACGGCATTGGTTACAGCAAATGAGATTTTGTTTCCTTTTTTTCAAAAGATGTGATGATCATGATTGGATTAGCCCTTTCAATCAGGTTTTTTTATTTTATATTTATCTAATTTGTTTTCAGTTTTTTCGTTATGGCCGTGTAATAATGGTTCCCAGAATAAATGTGCCATGTTAATTTTTTATTAAAGGCCCGTTTGGGATGGTTGAACTCAATTAAACTTTTATTTTTTTGAGAAAATATTAAATTAAACTGATTCTGCTTTGAAACGCCCCGTATAGTAGTAAATAATAAACTATTCAAAGAATCTGAATTCTGAAGTGGATCCCCATTTGGAATGGCTTTTGTGTTTGGGGTGATGAGCGGTTTTGGTTGAGCACCCTTGTTTTATATATGCTACTTAGAGACTTAGAGTAGCTTCATGTTATAATTACACAACCAAACACAACTTCAGATGTTTTCATGTAGGGGTCAGCTCAAAATGCTAGGAGCGGTGTCCTGAAAACCCTTCCAAATGGAGACTCACGGTTAAGGATGGTAATTTTTACCATTTTTTTTTGCTTGAAGGACAGATTTTAGGGTATGGTATTAGATTAAATTCGACTCTTTCTGATTCGCATATTGTTGGAAAGCAATAAGTTTTATGTATGAGGTGTTGTGTTTAATAATATTTTAAATTTTATGTGGAGGATAACTGATAAATTATGTATTATATATATATTTAATCAAATAATTGAAAATTTTGTTGTTTGTTTATGTTATTTTACTTATATATAAAAAGAAATAATAGATAATTATATGTGGGTTCTAAACCTAGTCTGCCCTACCGTTGAATGCGGGGAGGGTTTTGCATTTTCATGTGCGAAGAGAGTTTGGATTCTCAAAATCCAATCCACTACGGGTTGATATGTTTAGGCCACAAGTCACAAACATGCATTAAATGAAACACTAGGCCGACTTATCTAGCCAACTGACTTGGATCAAACGGTTTAAACATCTGGTGTATCTAATTAGTTTGGGTTTGATGCATGAAAGATGGTTCGGGGCTTAGTGCTGAGACCATAAACTGGATTGTTGTTTTCAATTTTCAATTTTCATGTACACTGTCATGGGCTGGGTTGGGTCAGGCCGGGCTTTGTCTATGCCGAGCTTTGTCTATTTAATTAATTTGCATTCAAGTGGGATTTTGATAAAAAAGCATATGCTTTACTGAAATTCATGTTTGCATCCATTAAAGCTAAAAATCTATTTGGTAAGAAGGTAAACTTGTGAGTACAAAACTAACCCAACTTTACATTTTATATGAATCATTTTACACTCTACATATTTGCATCATTTCCAAACACAGCCTTAGGGATAAATACAATCCAATGAAGAGTTTTTAGCTGGTTGTTAGATGGATATATATTTTTTTCTAGTGGGGCATTGACTTGAAGGTCCAGATTAATTGATGACCATGTAGGACAGAGTCTTGCAATCATGAGATCACATCTATGCTCCACAGACGGTGCCCCATAAATGCCCCACATGAACATCTCAGCGAACAATAGGAACATCTCTCGAAATTATCAATGGGGATGTTTCCAATACATGGTTGGGATATGCTGTGGGACGCATATGTGAATTCTGCAATTATATGAGGATTGTCACTTCATGTGCATGGACCCCATTAATCCATCTGTCCAAATAACTCTCACACAAATTGGGATCTGTTCCTCACAAAATGCACCTCACACCGACCTCACAGCTACATACCACCCTGACTGACCTCATAGGGTGGGACGTGGCTGTAAGATTAGTGTGAGGCATGCTGTATGAGGAGCAGATCCGGACTCATCTCACACATGTCCCAGAGTCTCCCCCCTCTCTCTCTCTCTCTCAAAGTCTCAAGTGGCGGTTCTTTTACTTAGGTGGACCCATTCAGTGGTGGAACATGATTCTTGATCTACTAAACATACAATATGTGGCAAGATGTGGGACCCAGAAAAATTACTTCTGTTTACCCATCATCTATTATCCTCTTTGGACCTTGTCTCCAAGGTCTATCAATAGATGGGTTACATCCATTATTAAGGACCAAAACAACTGAATGAAATCACTTAACTCCACTTAATTAGGCTGTATTTGGTTGCAGTGCAATTTTATTTGCGTTAATATAAATGCATGCAAATGCAAATAAAAAAAAATGAAAATTCTAATTTAATTTAATTTTATTCTATTTCATGTCTTAATTTATTTCATTTATACTGCAATCAAATAAATAAGATAAAATTTGATACAAAAATAGGTAAACATTTACACTGTTATAAATTTGCATTAGTGTAACTTTATTTGCATTGCAACCAAACATAGCATTAGGTTCAGTTTAGAAGGAGCATAAATACAAATATGTGGAATGCAAAACCTGGTGTTTTGTATTATTTTGTATCTATTTATACTATACACATTTGTATTTATACTCTTTCGAGCCTTGGGATTCAAAGTTTGGATAAGAGTTTACTTTGCAAAACAAATTTGTATCTCCTGCCTTAATCCAAATCGTCACTTCTTAGCGTTAGTGATGGACAAATACAATTAGTTAACGACACTTCAACTTGGCTAATGCAATACAAAAAGTACGATAGTTAATTAGGACGTTTGTGGTCTAGCATATGCAGGGTTTCATTTGTGTCGAGTAGTGTGCAATTGAATATTAGATGTGGATAATTAAACATATGGGACCAGCTACTTTATTAATGTTTCAACTACTAACTAATTAAATACCAATCAACATCTGCTGCACCAGATTAGCTAAGTTGGCATCTCCTTTCATCACGGGAATCTTGTTTATAGATTAATTGCATCAAGACTAACTTGATTGTCACTGGGGCTTGGCAATTTTGGGAGGGAACTCAATTGAGATCGGAGCAGTTAGGTTTCTTGATCCACTGCATTTGGTTTATGAAAAAATTACAAAAATTTGTATTTTCTCAATTCTAATAGTTTTCTCATAGGTTTTATTTGTTCGCGGTGCAAATCTGAATTGATTATTTGAAAGTAATAGTTGTTTTATCATTTATGGAATCAATAATAGCGCCCCATACCATACAATTCAGTTATATAATCAATAATTCCAATTCAGTTATCATTTATGGAATTCAAATTTTACATCCAATTCAATTTTGTGTCTGTTCATTTGTAATTGTGATCTGTATTCTAATGAATGATACAAAATTTGTATTTTTTTTTTGTCTTATTTGCATGCGCTAATAATGTAAATTTTGTATCTTAAAAACTGATGCAAAGTACCTCTCATGTGCGGATGTGCCCATGATGTGACAATTGATATTTTTCACCACTTTGTATTGATCAACTTTAGGAACAACAGTGATATCAAACACAATCACAATGGGTGTTTGGGATGTGTTTGTTTTCTCTTTTCTTTTAATTTAATTTTCGAACTACAAAGTACATATTATCAATTTTGTTGAATAAGGGTCCGTTTGGTCAGAATCGAAATCCTCTGGAATCGGAATTAGAATAGTCCATTCCTATAGTCTTTTTGGTTCAGACAGGAATGGAAGTGAGAATTGAAATAAGCAGGAATGGGATTTCATTCCCAAGGAAGGGGCAGGAAATGACCATTCCCTCAAATGGGGCAATGCCATTCCAGCAAGAATGGGAATGGGATTTCGATTTTACCCAATCAAACAGTTGGACTTGGAATAGTCCATTCCGATTCTGATTACAGAGCCCTATTCCTGCGAACCAAACGGACCCTAAGATGAGATATTTATTACTCAGGTTCTACCCTAAAAATTACTTCTTTTGGTTATTTATTACCTTTTTCATTTTTTTTGTTCTTTTTTTTTTCCTGGATGAGAAAGGTAGGAGAAGCAAAGCAATTGCTGATGTGTGGGTAGTGCAAGTTGGGCTGCCAGACTTGCAAATCTAGACAGCCTCAGCAGTGCGTTAATTCTTCAGTTCATTCATCCACTTAAGTGCTATTACTGTAGCACTAAATCATTGTTTTAAAAGACTTAAGTCTTGAGGCGAGGTGCATAGATTTTGTCTCAAGGCTAAAGCCTTGAGGCGATGTAAGGCTTAAGCCTTTTTATCAAAATAAGCCTTAAGCCTTAAGGTGTGAGGTGTAGCATGAGGCGTAGACATATAAGTCTCAAATATCAATGAGTACAAAAAATATGTATTTTTATAATTTTAAACATATAAAAACACTTAATAATTATGGATCAAATAAAAAAGTAAAAATGAAAAAAAATAATAAGGCAAATCAAATCCTAAGAAAATTAAGGTAGTTCAATACAAAAAGGATTAATCAAGTTTTTAGTTTCTCTTGAATAAATCATGTGAGATTTTTCTTGTTATTCTATATGTTTCTTAATTATTTACATAGATCATGCAAATCAACTAAGTTGTTTCCTTTCTTCTAAATTATTTTTTTACATGAAATATAAAATATTTATAATTATTAATTGATTAGTTATTATTTTATTTAATGCTTATAAACTTCTAGTTTATAGATATGTACACCCTCTATAATTTTAATTTAATATATTATAGTTTATTTTCATCAATTTATAAACTTTAATTAAAATTTTTCTTAAACTTTGAGATTTGCGTCT